ATGAGACATGTAACTATCACTATAAATTAGAACCAGAATACCAACAGTAGTGATTAATATTGACATAATAGAAGTAAGTGAATCGATCAAGTAGCCAAATTCTAAAGAAAGATCATTATTTATAGTCCAAGACCATACATATTGATAGATAGAACTATTCTCGATTTGCTGAATAGATAAATCGATCGAAAAAATCATAACTATGGTTAACAAGAAAATACTAGGAAAAGCCCACATACGGCGAAGATTTTTTGTTGCCGTGGGAAAAAGTAGAAGTCCTACCCCTATTAAAATAGGAACTGGAAGAGGGATGAAAGGTATGATCCATGAAGATTGATGTGTATATTCCATACAAAAAGAAAGAATAAAAAATATTTAGATTCTTGATGAATTTTGTTTCTTATTCGTTTGTTTTATATCTTTTGTAAAGGGGCTCGGTTAATAAAAAAGTGGATATAGAAATAGAATTGGATATTCTTAATTGTTCTGAATCTTTGCACAATGGTCCCCATATTGGAAAGTACAAAGTCAAAACTGGCCAATAACAAAATTCCTAGTGAAAAAAATAAATAATAATTATTATTTTCAGTATTTCAGTAATATATTCATTAATTAATATTACTATTAATTCCTATGTTAGGTTAGTTATTTTTTAATTTATATATATATTAAGAAAAATGACTATTAATAATTGTAAAATAAAAATTTTTATCTCTTATCTATAGAGCGAGGATGAGGATAAATCAGTACACCAAAACTAACAACATTTGTTTATTTTGATATACATTAGAAAAATAATATAATATAAAATAATACTTTTTTTTTATTCAGAAACATTAGTTCCTTTTTGAACTAATTGATTCTTTTACATTACAATAAAAAGAGATCCATATATATCTATTATCTATGAAAAATTTGGAAAAGGTTTATAATATTCAATGTTTTTACTTTACCTTTCGATGGAAAAAAAGAGAAAGAGTTAATTTAGATAGATAAGACATACGGCTAATTACAGAATAATTCGTTTTCATTTACAGAACAAATGTCTTTCACATCAAACTATAGCAACGAAAAAACTATACTAATTGTATGCCAGTTCCAAAAAAACGCACTTCTATATCAAAAAAAAAAATTCGTAAGAATTTTTGGAAAAAAAAAGGATATAAGGCAGCATTGAAAGCCTTTTCATTAGCTGACTCTATTTTGACAGGTACCTCAAAAAGTTATCGTATTGTAATAAATACAAAACCTCGCCCTTTTTTGCCACGTAATCAAAAAAAAAGTTGTGTTATTGTAAGAAATACAAATGTTGGACGAGAATAATCTGAATTAGCTCGATTCAAAGAGTATTCTTTAATAGTCATTTTATACTAATACTATTATAGAATATGAAACATATATAAACATATATTTAGAATATATTCTATATTATAGAATATAGAATATATTCTAGATATATATATAATCTCATTTTTTTGAATGATTCATAAGCAACTACAAAAAAAATTTCTTTTTCATTACTGGATTGAAGTCAGAACTAGATAGTTCTAGTTTCAACAGTGCTTTTTTTTATTTGAAAAAGTATAAACTACAAAAAACCCATTCCCCGTCGTTGTTAAATTTGAAAACGAACACTGCATGGGAAAAAAAAAAAGAAATGAATATAGAAATCAAAACTTCTTTTACTTAAATTGAAAATGATTGCATATATCATATATTTCTATATTCATTTCTATTATATATTAGAAAAAATTAAATTACTTTTTATTATCAATTTAGTTTTATTATCAATTGAGAATAAATGTTTAGTAAATAGTAAAGAAATGTACTCAATAAATATTGGACTTCACTTTATTCAATCTCGACGATTGACTATTGACTTTGACTAAATAATTGGTTATTATGATTTCGAGTCAGCCGCTATGGTGGAATTGGTAGACACGCTGCTCTTAGGAAGCAGTGCTAGAGCATCTCGGTTCGAGTCCGAGTAGCGGCATGGACTCCTACCCGATATTTTAAAAATTTTACAAGATTAATAAGTCCTATAATGAAGTCAATTTCCTATTTCTATTCCGAGTAGTAGATATCTGGCTACGAAAAATAAAAAAGTACGATCAAAGAAAATACAAAGAAATGGACCATATTTTTTGATAATGTATCTCAGATAAATTTTGACTATTCTTACCTATGAACTCCGCTAGATTCAACTTTTTGGTCGTTCAACCAACTAATTGAACCATTTGAATATTGTTGAAATATGAACATTTGTTATTGCATCGCAGAAAAAATCGAAACAAACTAGAATCATTCATTTTCATACTTCCTAGAATATACATCGATTCCTTTTTCATCTAGAAAGAGCATATCTCTGTACGCCTAGATAAATTATGTATAATTATTAAGACCACTAATCAATATGTATCTATTCCTCCCAATATTTGATTTTTGAAAAGAAATATGGGAATAGATACTCATACATAATGAGTCGCCGGGAACCAGA